ATTTTTTCACTCTCTGTCGTCTGTAATAAAACAATTGACTTAAATGCCCAGAAGACAAAAGAATAACTTTTGTTAAGATCCTTTTGTCTTCATTCTTAAACGCAAACAGAATGGAATTAGTGCAAGCATAATTAACACATTAAACATAAAATTCGTTTTAAAGGAGTTTTTATTAAAAATATATGTTTAGGCTAAATATGTTCATTTGAGACGGCATAGTAGTCTCCTCGATGGACCCTAGCGAAGGCGATATTTGCAGGGGCAGCTAGGGGCCGTTACATTTTTGGTAGCAGAGTGTGGTTTGGATTGGTTTAATTTGTGTCTACAATGACGCCCGGCCATAATACGTAATAATAAAATTATTTTCCTTTGTTGCTTGCTTCCTTGGTTTGTAAGCGGGTAGAATTAAAAGCCGCGCCGTTAGGCTGCGCAAGCGGGAGTTTGTTAGGGCTAGGTACGCGTCGGGTAGGTAGATAGTTGTTATCACGTAATCAGATAATTAATGTTGTCGTATATTTATAGTAGATTAATTGTCGAAGGGTCGGTTGTCTGAGCGAGGCATTTTTGCCGATCGACTGTGGTGTGTACCTTTAGTTGTATTGTAATTTGTATTTAATTTAATAAATAGTATTTTGTATTTGTGTAATATGTATTTAACTTGATTTTATAGGAAATGTATTTGTTATTTGTTAATTGATTTGTATTTGAGCCGCGTAGTAATTTGTATTTAGAAGTGATGCTATCGCGCAGCCAGGGCAATCACCATGCCGTTTTGTGTCTGGGTGCGAACGGTGTTTCCTCTCAGGGCTCTCCCGGGCCCTCGACTCCCACGGGCAGAGGCGCTCAGACGCGCCCCCTGTCGGGCGACGCTCGGCGCTCGCCTGTCAGTCACCGTGGTCCTGGGTTTGAAAGGGGCCCCACCCCGAATCAGTCGGCGGGTTGTTCCCCCAGGGGCGGGGGGGGTGACGTCGACCCCCCCTGCAGAGGGACTTCACAGCCACTCAGCAGTCAGCTAGACCCTTCTCACCCCCGTCAACTGAGTGGCCGCGGCTGGGGTCCCACCGTCCCCCCTTTGATGCAGGCAGCCCTAGCTCCCACCACGGCCGCCTCCACTAGTTATTTGAGTCGTCAACAGCTTCCTTGTCAAACTGTTCAATTGCCGATGGCCTCAGTGAGGGTGTACAACCCGATGTCGATTGTTTAACGGTTCGCGCTTTATTGGATTTGGGTTCACAATACGGTGTGGCCTCCGCTTGATTGTTGGGAAGACCAGGGCTGCCCGGGAGCGTTGAATCGCGCTGTCAGGGACTATAAGATTTGGTTTTTGGTCGAGCACTTAATTAATGATGCTTTAAATTAAAAATGAAAATGCTTTCAGTTTTCCGTGAAATGTTTCATATTTGAGGCGGTTGTGATTAAGAAGGCGAATTTAATGTGCTCTTTAAATACTTGTACATATGTTTTTACAACTGTATTTGATCATTGTGTTTGTTTTGTTGAAAAGAAAATTGAAATTGAATAACCCTATATTCGTGCCGAAGGAAATAAGAATCATTACTCTCTTTGTTTTCACATTTTTGTTGGTACTGTCGAAGATATTTATTTGGAAAGAAAAATAGGGCTGTCTCTTACGTCTATCGTTTTGTTTAATTGGTCTGTTTGATCTATGCGCATCGGTAAATTAATTAGTTTGAATTAATTCAGTTGTTGAACATTGATGCTTTTGAAATTTGGTTGAAATATGAGCAAAGATCTGAAAGGGCTAGCTAGTTTTGAGATTATCAGATTGACATCAGCTACCGCACAATTGAGTAAATGATTATATGGTGGATGGCTTGGTTATGCCTGCTTGCTTGAAAAATTCATACTAAGGACTATCTGTGCGTTTCGTTTGGCTCTCCACAGACGCCGTTCATGTGGAACTTGTGGGTGCTCTCTGCACTGAAGCTTAGGTGGCCACGCTGGGCCGCTTCGTATCGCGTCGCTGTTTACAGACCTGATCCGGTCGGATTGCGGAACGAATCATAGGGGCATAGATATGTGTTTGAAAGAGGTCGTCGGACTTCTGTTCAGTAACAGAACTTATTTAGGTGCTGCGATGTCCAGGAAGGGCATCCAGTGGAGGTTTGACCCTCCGGCTTGCCCACATTGGGGCTGTATTTTGAGGCGGTGGTAAAGGTTGCAAGATCTGATGGCTGCCTAAGGTGGCATAGTTTTGGTTGTAGATTCGGTCTTGCAACGTCCTTATGTCCGGGACGGGGGTTTTGTTTAGGCTAAATATAGTCACTTGAGACGGCATCCAATCGCCTTCGACTTAGCGAATCGCCCGATGGTGTTAGGTGTCACGCGCGTCACGGGGAGGGGGCATCAGTATGCAGCTTTCCAGCCTTTGGCGCTCGTGGGCGAAAACAGTAGCTTGAGAGCAGCGGTGCAGTCAATTAGCGTATTTTGGTTACCGCTGCATATATTTCGCGCGACCAGTTTTTTGGGTTTATGGTCTAGATTTTTATTATTTGTGGGCGTTACTTCGCTACTGAATTGTGGTTTCGTGAAGACCGCCTCGGTTTACTTTGTCTAAGTTGTACGTTCGTGACAAAAGGTTTATTTTGAATTTGAGTGATTAGAGTAATTTCGTTGTAATTGTACCGTCGCGTTAAGAGCCTTTTATGTGTTGACTCTTTAGTTGCTTTGCGTGTCAGCTAGGTTGATTTTGAATTTTTATTGCAGCGTAGTATTTAATATAGTACGAAGGAATTTAGTTGTTGGTTGAAACGCTGAACTTTGTGACTCATGAAGATATCGCATTAGTTCCCTATTTGTAATTTGGTGATAAATGAATCCGGAACCTTGAATATTGAACTTTGAACTACTGTTCGTTACTTGTGTCAGGTATTACGTGTTTAATTTTACGATGAACGTTGTATTAGTTGAGTTGAAGTTAGTTAAATGTACAATAAAGTTGATAGACTGAAATAGTGACATGAAGAAAGAAGTTGTCACTTGATTACGCCTGCTGGAGTAATGCAGCATTGTGGGGCAGCATGGGACCAGGCCGCTGCCTGGTCACCTCAGCTGGGCCAGGTCACATAAATATACACACCACTAAACACCACTTTACATGCACCTACAACTACCTACGGCCTGACCGAGCCTTGGTGCGGTCTTAGCTTCGGATCCAGGTACGTACTACTTATTTACCTAGCCTTCTCCCTATTGTGTAGTATGATAGGTCAACTGTCGATATGGCCATTTGGGCCCGAACCCTCGGCTGCCCATCGAGGTGACTACTATGGGCCCTAGCCAAAGCGACCTTTGCAGGGGCAGCTGGGGACCGTAACAATATAATTGGCATTATATTTTATTATACAATAAACTAATGAAATTATGACATCCATTTCTTTTATTATTACAATAACAAACAGGTATAATTTCTAGTGGCATGTGGCCATTATGGATATTAGCAACCAGCTTCAGTCAAAAAGCTACGTAGCTGTTGTCGCTACGGTGGAGTGTGGTGGAATCTCTCAAAGCCTGAGAAGTAAAAAATACTAACACACATCATAAAATTAAATACATCAACAAAATGACGTATAAATATACTCGTATCAACCAAACTTAAATCGCATTATCGACGTTTTCGAACGATTTTACTTATTTCTTGTATTGAAAAAAAAAATAGTTTTGGTAAATATTGAAGTCTTTCAATATATTTACTGTTTTTTTATGATTACACAATAGGTGATATAAACATATAATGATAATTTAGTCTTTATTAACTATGTTATGCCTGGGAAAACCTACATAATATATTGTAGTGTATGTGCCTCCACCCTACTAGTAGTGTATGAAATACATGTACTCTTAAGTTTAATCTAATAATATAATTGATCATTATAATTAAAGTCTTGAACTAGGAACTACGTCTTATATTTATTCAACACCTTTACGACATCACATGGCGACCCTGCCAGGCGGTGCGCTGCGATAATGCATGCGTACCGCCGGGCCTATTTAAAATAAAAAATAAATATAAATACTATTAAATTAAATAACGAACTAAAACGACTGACAAAAGAAATATTATAACGGAATGGACGCAATACCGGATGTGACGAAAAATTAATAAATATGAATACAAGAAGAGGCCACAATAATAGTTGACTGAAAAATTAAAAACTATAACATATATGAAGTAATATAATATATTTATCTTTAATATAACTATGAAGGCAACTAAGAAAGAATAAGGAGAATAAAAAGTGATTTCTTAAATAATGACCAAAGACCAAAATTCAAGAAACGGCAAATTAATTTAATAAGGAAAGGAGCAGTCGAGCTTTGTCCAATAACATATGACAATTAAACCGAAAAGAAAAAAGAAGATATAAGAGGTAACATCGCATCAGCGTTATTTTTTAATCTTTTAATTTTAATTATTTTTTATTAAATAAATAAGTAATGCATTAAATATTAAATGTACGGTATTTACAAGTAACTTGAAAATATTTGTCATGTGTATCATAATATTTATAATAGTTTAGTAGGTATTAAAAATACAATATATTAAGTTACACTTTACGATGACAAGGTTCGTATTAAAGTAAATATATTTTTAAATTCAGCCTATTTTTTTCTGTAACAAACTTTATTTAAATGTAAGTATACAATTTTGAAAAGGGTTTTATAAAAAAAATCGCTATTATTATAAGTTATAATAAGTTTTCTTCTTTTTTAAAAGCATGAAAAGAGAATTAGAAAGATTTCTAGGAAAGATAGAACAAAACACTTTGTGTGCCTCATATATAACACCCCTTTGAGCATATTTTTAGAACTTTTGACGCGATTATTTTTGTTCTCATGTGAAGACATTGGGTCGTTGTTGCATTTTACCTAAAGTTTTATTTGTGATCAGATGATGACATTGTTTTTAAGTGTAATAAATATAAAATATAAAAAATTTCAACTTTATACTTCTTTTACTCCTTATTTAACATAATAAACTAAAAGCGTGCAGCAGCTGGAATTCTGGTCTTTATGATAGTGCCTGTGCAACCAATTCCTCTCTTTAGAAGTTCATTTGCCAGTTTCATTGAGGTGCAGTATCGGTCGAAGTAAAAGATGTGTTCTGGGACAAGTGTATTAGCTAAAGTGATTACAGCTTTCTCTCCCAATACATGGTTTGAATCTTCTAACTCTTTGTAAGTGGTTGACCCTTGATAGATATGAAAATCTGTCACTATTCCACTGGGATTTGCAAGAACAGAGGCTTTCATACCAACTGGATTTGGTTTGCCGGGGCAATATTGTTTAATTCCACATGCCACACTAAAAGGCACTTTCATTTCGTCAAGAGACACTTCTTTTTCTTTTTCTTATACCCTACATCTTTCTTGTATTTGCTGTATCAAAGGTCTGATTTTCCATAACTTATCTTCCGCAAGTTAAGCTTGACTGACATTGTCATCAAATACAAATTTGATAGAGTTTCTGATTTGTATAAATCTGTAACGGGACATGTTATCCGCAATTATCGCCATTCTCCATTTACTTTCCCAGTACATTCTTATTACTGGATAGCTTACAGAAGCCATAACGAACGTAATCCCGATGTACACGTAAAATTTATTCATATCTAAATTCATGCTTCTTCCATGCAATTTTACTGAAGTTTGGTTTGTTCTTTCAACTAGTAACTGTATAAACTTATCATCTTGTTCAAAATATGTAACTTTTTCCAAAAAATCTGAGTTAAGTGGTAAATAAGTCAGCTGCGATAATTTCATTTCCTTCGGTGGGAATAGTTTTTCAGACCAAGCAGGTAGTGAAATTTTAGAGTCACTGGCAGAGGAAGTTATATTGCTGCTACGACCACGATTACTTCCACGAGTATAGTAACGACGAGCACGTGATGGAGGTAGCTGTATTATTCTTTCTTCATGGATTTTTTATGGCTCTGACCTTTCAGAATCACTCGAACTAGATAAATGATCTAACTCAAGTCTAAAAAGTGGGTCATAGTCATCCAAATCTTCATAACTAGGTGCGAAGTCTTCAATCTCCGATTGGTTTAATAATTTAGAAACATCTTCATCACGCTAAACTATAATAAATAGAAAGGAGTTAGTTTGGACATTGCGAAAGCCTTCGATCGGGTTTGGCACAAAGCGCTTCTTTCGAAGCTCCCTTCCTATGGGCTTCCCGAGAAATTATGCAATTGGATCACCAGCTTTCTTGCAGATCGGAGCATCAAGGTCGTTGTAGACGGTGCATGCTCCGACTACAAGCCTATTAACGCTGGTGTTCCACAAGGCTGCGTGCTATCACCAACGCTGTTTCTTCTGCATATCAATGATATGTTGCAAGCTGGTAGCATTCATTGCTATGCAGATGACAGCACTGGTGATGCTCTATACACCGGCCGTGCCAATATTTCTCGGGAAAACGTCACCGAGTACCGGGACAAATTTGTGTCTGAAGTCGAGTCTTTGCTGAACAAAGTCTCGGATTGGGGGCGACTAAATCTAGTCCAGTTCAATCCCCAGAAGACAAAAGTTTGCGCGTTTACCGCTAAAAAGAACCCCTTTGTCGTATCTCCTCAGTTTCAAGGTACTCCCCTTGTTGTCTCAGCCAGTATCGGAATCCTCGGCGTCGACATATCGAGTAGCGTGCAGTTTCGTGGTCACTTGGAAGAGAAGGCCAAATTGGCCTCTAAAAAGCTTGGCGTGCTCAGCAGAGCGGGACAGTATTTCATGCCGGCTCAACGCCTGCAACTTTACAAGGCGCAGGTTCGGCCTCACATGGAATACTGTTCCCATCTCTGGGCTGGGGCTCCCCAGTGCCAGCTTCTTCCACTTGACCGCATCCAGCGCAGAGCGGCTCGAATCGTCGACGACCGAGTCCTTTCCGATCGGCTCGACTCATTGGCACTGCGAAGAGATGTTGCATCTCTTAGCATTTTGTTTCGCATTTACCATGGGGAGTGCTCTGAGGAATTGTTCGGATTAATCTCAGGCGCCAAATTTCACGAGCGCACATCGCGGCAGAACTCCCGATACCATCCACACCATCTGGATGATTGGCGGTCCACCACTGTGCGATTTAGAAGATGTTTTCTTCCTCGCACAACTTCCTTGTGGAATAATTTACCACCAGCGATTTTTCCGGATCGATACGACATAGGGACCTTCAAGAAAAGAGCCTACTCCTTTTTAAAAGGCCGGCAACGCATCTGCAATTCCCCTGGTGTTGCGGTTGTTCATGGGCGGCGGTAGTCACTTACCATCAGGTGAGCCGCATGCTCGTTTGCCCCCTCTCCTATAAAAAAAAAAAAAGTAATTTAAAAACAAAATACTTCAATTTTCTGATATAAAATTACTTGACTGACTAACGCCCAATGATCTCACATAATACCAAATAAAAAATGACTGTAATTGTAACTACCGCCTCAGTATATTAAAAAATTATACAATATTTATGTAAAACAGAATCTCAATTTCACGATTATAAATGATTTGTTGGAAAAATAAACGAATTTATTAAATAAATCAAGATAAAGACTCACCATGACGACGCGTGGACTCCATGTTTGCTCAATTCAGTTTAAAATTAAGAGCTATCTGTGGTTAGTTGCCTACTTGCTCTTGATCCAAATGTTGCTAGCAAAAGGGCCAATCAATGACGTCTGATAAGAAATACAAAACCCGCAAATATTTTAATCTAGGAACAAAAATATAATTTGTCCTCAGTGGATGACAGTGGGCGGTAATTTTGATGACAATATTTTGCGTATTGGGCCGAAACGCATAAATTATTAAGTACTTCTCTGATCACATTGGGCCTTACGAGGATATACCTACTTGATCATGTTAACATGTTGTTGTATCTAACGTTGGATAGTACCAAAAATGCGACAGGTTTAATGACGTACGAAATAAAATCGCATGCGTATCCTGGATTGACTCAATAATATTATGTATAACCTGACCTGATCATGATCATGAGATTATAATCTTTTTTTTAATGAAATTAATTTTATATTTTGTTTAACTGATTTATTTTACTCAATTTAGGAATTATATAAATTTAATGGCTAAGTAACATTGTATTTTATTTTAACCTTCAATATTAAATTTATTATTATTTAATAAGATTCAGGGTTCATATGCTCGTAATATTACTAGCTGTAATAGGGTATGCGGTCGTTCGCACTCCGAGCAGAGTGTTTATTATATTAATTTTTCATTATCTCTTAAACTATGCGTCCAAATAACATGCTATAAAGACCTAAGTTTATCTTCATAAAAATGTCTTGATGGAGTAACTTTCATTTGTAAGGATTAATATGCCATGCCTAATAATAACGCTCATAAATCACTTTTTAATTTTCAATAATTTTTTTGTCATAATATACCATATTGTGGCTTATGTACAAGAAAGAAGCATTTTTAGGTGGGGCAAAGACCAATCTTTTTGTAGAATATTGTATTTATGTAATACTAAACGTTACGCCAGCGCACGCGGATAAAGCCGTTAGAGAGCGCCTTTCCTTCCGACTTGCTTGACAAAAATCAATATTTAAGGCCAGCTGAGAGTTATAGAATAATGCTAGATAGCCTATACAATTTCTCATGAATCTGGTTATTATATACAAAAATAATTTTTCAAATCGGACTAGTAGTTCCAGAGATTAGCGCGCTTAAACAAACAAAAAACAAAAAACTCTTCCGCTGTATTATATTAGTAAGTATAGAAGTATAGATACGAGTAATTAAATATTTCAATTCACAATGTGATTTACATGTAATTATAAACCATTTTTTTATTATATTTTTCAAGAAAATAAAATGTAAAAAAAGTAAATAGAGAACATTTCTTTTTTTTCTTAAATATCGGGGGAGGTGTAGTGTATGTGCTTCCACTCTACTAGTAGTGTGAGAAATACATGTACTCTTAAGTTTATTGACCAGTATAATTAAAGTTGAACTGGGAGCTACGTCTTATATTCATTCAACATCTTTCCGACATCACAACATTAAATACAATAAAAGAACAGTTTTAATACCATGAAGATTATAAAGGCATCGAAAAAAGAAAAATAGATACAAGTAAAAATTGTATAACCAATATAAATAACGAGGAAAGTAATATGATGAAAAATAGGATAAGTCTTATGCTGGATAGACATTCTATTCAGAGGTCGGCGACACCAGACATTTGTGGCTATTACTTTATAACAGCGTATAAGAAATGAAAGATCAAGATGAAGGTAAAAGAAAAAAAATAAAGAAAAAAAAGAAGAAGAAGAAGGTGTGAAGTATCGATGTAAAAGAAAAGAGAGAAAAAATAGTGATTTGGATGAATTGTGTATTTACTCGTTAGTTTCGAACTTGAAGATTGTGCGTGATAAAGTTAAGAGAGGTATAGAGATATATGAGACGTTAACCGAAATATGTGATATAAATAAGAGGAATAATGGCAGGAATTACGTTATGGTGGGATAATGAGGTAAAAATGAAAATTGTAGCAAAGAAGAAAACATGGCTAATTCTGTATGAATAATCAGAAAAAGAAGAGATAAAACGTAAATTTATGCTGCTGAAGTGGGCAGCAGAGACGGCAAGGGAGAAGGACCCAATAGACTGAAGTTAATCGATCAAAAATGGAAATATATTGAAATTGGGCCAAAGTAAGTTTTCCCTTATCCGACGAGAATGTATGTGTAAATATATGGATATAAATAAGTTGCGAGAGAGTACTTAGCTTGTAGTGGTCTTAAAGAATTCAAGGTAACAGTTCTGTATATATTTTGTAAAAAAATATATGTATATACGATATAAGACCACAATCAAATTTGAAGGAAGGGAAGATTTAGGTCGTTAAAGATTGAATGTACAATTTGAATAAACAAAGCATTCTTTAAATTTGCCACTTGGCACATTCATGATTTCCCAGGTGCAAATCCGATTTACCTTGTTAACCTAACGATGCATTTGAAAACCCTTGCTCTCTCAAGCTCTTATTTGCTACCCGACTATTTGTCGACGAGTCAAAATCCTTAATTTACGATGCATTACATTTTATGTTGTATAAGAACAATATCGTAAAAATATTTCTTATCACGGTTCAATACATAAAAACCTAACAAATATGATAATATAAAAAAAATTGACCACATTAATATTTTAAAAGTTCGACTAGGAGCGGCGATTAGTGAATCCTCTCAGTGGCCCTGTGGTAGCAGCGTCGACAAGTTTGGGCTCCATGGACTTTCATGTAAGAAAAGTGCTGGTAGGTATTCTCGGCACGGTTCTTTGAAAGATGTCATCCGAAGGGCTCTTGTCTT